CCACTTTTCAGTTTGACTCGCTGTTTCAAGTCTATTTATTTATTTTAAAATAAAATATATACGCATGCGCAGACAGTGTGGTTGTCTCACTTGATGAGATAAACTCATGAAATTATTGTATTGTCACCGATTCTTGATAAGTCTACAAAGTTCAAAATAGATCTGTCCGTTTAAAGTTAGTCAAAATCGAGTCCAAACGAGTCGGCTGCAAATAAACATACGAGTGAAGCTAATAAAAGCGTGTTGAAAAGAGCATTTTCTCCTGTTTTTCTGTTCTATTTTTTTGTACGACGATTGGTTGAGAGAGATCGCAACAGAAATAAATTTATGAATTCAAAAAAGCTGGACAAGACCGTTTCGTGAATTAGGTATATATGTACCCTTCTCTTGATTTAATGTTTTTACTTTTCCAAGACTTTTACGTCCACCACATACAACTGACGGTATTGAGCTGAAACTCATTTTTCACTTCAGAACTTTAAAAATCATACATTTCAAGAAAACGTTGCATGGGCTTGCGATCTTTTATCATTGAGATCTAGACTGCAATGCCGATAAGTTTCTTTCTCAATATTGAAGTGACAATATGCTGTCACGTGTCGATCAAACGTTGATACTACCCATTGTGTGGATGTCTTACCAAAACAAAATGCATTTATGGAATCCTAAAGAGTTTTCTGACGAAGAAGGTTCATCAGAAGAGGATAGTGTTGATAAAAGGACTGAAAAGGAAAAGTATATTTTTGTAGATATTGACTCAGATCAGAGTGAAAGCTCAGAACAATGGTTAGAACTTGTTGATGTAGATTCTCTTACCGACGATAGTACAAGTAGATATACTAGTAGAACTGTTAGTCCAGTTAGTAAATTTGCGGGACAGGATGTTGAAAAGTTCGAAGGAAAAATCACTGAAAAATCTCTATTGGAAAGAGAAAATAATATTCTTCATATTAGCGATTTTGTAGACTTGTCATACTGGAAAGAAGAGAAAATTTGTTGTGGAACAATATACAGGGGGCTGTATGATGAAATTATGGTAGACCCAAGATTCGTGAAAGCCTGTCCAGATCGAATGAGTAAACTAGCCAAACGAAATTCGAACTCACAAGAATTGGAAGAACCTGTTAATAAACAAAATTGAGAAAAAGGCAATTTTTGTTATAGCTGAATATTGAAAGTAATAAAGAATCCAAATCCAGAAGGGACTTTGAATTTTGACTGTTTTTTTGGAGTGTTGTGTCCACGAATTGTTTCATTTTTGATTTGTATCATGCACACTCGATAAAATCTCTAGAATATTTGTGACAATAAAAAGTAAAACGGCGTTCCATAGATCAGAATAGTAGTTATCTATTTATCTTTTGATTTTCATGAAGTTATTGTCCAGCAGCTTCACTGCATTAACATTTCTCGATTTCATATCATTTCTAGAAACATGTGGATTCGTTTTCCGATGGCATTTCAGGTTAGCTTCCCAAATTTCTGCTACCCCAGTTGTCGTTTGATTGGTCAAACCACCAACACTGACATAAAAACTTGGCAAGTTGACTTGGGTGTCACACCAATAGGGAGTTCCACTTATGTTCTCGCTTGCGATTACGCAGTTATTTTTATCAAGTGCTTTTCTTGGTTATTCACATTTTGTCTTCAATCGAAGACCATCTGCCCGGTACTGACGATGTCCAATAGGCTGAAACAGTTGTCTACCGGTGGCTCTTAAATTGAAAGCAATATGGGAGTGATCAGAATAGTAGTATATACCTACGATTTTATAGGTACGTGTGGCAGATACCCAACAGAAAAACAACAACTAACCCAGTAAAACGAACAGGCACCTGTTCAAAGTTTTGGAAGATTCGTCGCAAGTTATTTCCCACTATGGAAAGCTGAAATTAATTTCCTTTAGTCGATCCCACCAACCGATAGACCGGTTTTGGGTTGTATGCCCCATCATGAGTACCGGGCATGGTCTGTCTTTACGTTATGTTTCTTCAGAATTCGGCTCACTTTGTCAGTAACTACATGGATGTAGGGGAGAAAAGCGTTTGTCTGATTGGTCTGTTCCTCGGGTAACTCGTGGGATGAGGTTTGTGTTTGCCGTTGTAAAATGGATCTTTGTATTTGATGAGTGGGATAGTCGTTTTGGTGAAGGTCGGCTTTGAATTCGTAGAGTTCCATGGATCCGAAGATCGTCATGCATTCCTGAACCACATCAATTCCTTACACCCCGACCTAAAGTTCACAATGGAAGTTGAAAAGAACACGCCTTTTCTTGGATATTCTCATCAGAAAATACAACAATTCCTTCTCACACACGGTCTACCGAAAACCTACCCATACTAACCGCTACCTCAATGCTAAGTCCCATCATCAACCTGCCCAGCTGAATTCCGTTTTGAATTCCCTCATACATCGATTTATAAGACTCACTGACAACCATAACAAATCCAGGGAACTATACGAACTCAAAGCCGCCCTTCACCAAAACGACTATCCCCGACTATCCCGTCTCCCAAATACAAAGATCCATCCAACGACAGCAAACACAAACCCCACCCCATCAGTTACCCGAGGAACAAACCAACCAGGCGAAAGCTTTTCTCCTCTATATCCATGGAGTTACTGACAAAGTGAGCCGAATTCTGAAGAAACATTCGTAAAGACAATATTTACAGCTAACAACCAAATCTCCGCTATTTTAAGAACACCCAAGGACACTATACGTAATGAAGCACAAGGCATATACGAAATACCATGTTCTAACTGTCCCAGAACTTACATAGGCCACGCCAACAAAATAATTGCCAACAAGCCTATGAACATGAACTGGCTGTTCGCAAATCAGACCCAGCATCATCTCTCTTCAAACACCACCAGGAAACAGGCCACACAATAAGTTTCGAAAACACCAAGACCATTGCTATGGAGAAAAATCTTCAGGCCAGGATAATTCGGGAAGCAATCGAAATTGAAAAACCTCCCAACTGCCCTAACAAACGAGATGATTCGCAGTGAGTACCACAAGCATGAAAGCCATTATTGTCATGCCAGATGCCTGAAAATAACTGAGGCCCCGAACAGCAAAGTGACCAGTGCGAACTTAGAGCTGAACACAGCAAGCATGGAGCTAGTTTGTAATGTTTTCGCTGTGGCGATGGTGTTCGCATGCAAAGTCTATGTTGTGTCCTGTCTCTTGATGATGTTTGGACTGGGCTGAGGATGGGTCTGACTTTCGGACAGCAAGTTGATGTTCGTATACCCTACTTGTCACACGTCTGTTGGTCTGGCCTACATATATTCAATCGCAATCGGAGCAATGAATTTCATATATACCATAGGATTCATTGACAATTTTGTCCTTGGGAGAACGGAGGAATGGGGAAATTTGATTGTTGGCTGTGAATATCGTTTTTGTGTCGTATTTTTTGAGAATTCGGACAATTTTGTCAGTTACACCTTTAACGTAGGGAAGAAAAGCTTTGAGGGGAACGTTATTATCTTTTGGATCTTTGGGACTGGACGGAGAAGTTTGTTGACGGCGGATGGATCTGTCAATTTGATGATCTGTGAATCCATTTTGAAGGAGAGCTAATTTGAGTTGGGCTAGCTCTTGTGGTTTGTTGTGTTGGTCTGCGAGGTTGATAGACCTATGAATGAGGCAATTCAAGACGGAGTTGGTTTATGCTGGATGTTAGTGGGAGTTTGCGTTGAGGTATCTACTTTTTTGGTTTGCTGTGTTGGTGTGCGAGGTTGGTAGATCTATAAATGCGGAAATTCAAGATGGAGTTGGTTTGTGCTGGATGATGGTGGGAGTTTACGTTAAGGTATCTGTTTGTGTGTGTCGGTTTTCTGTAGACCGTGTGGGTGAAGGAGATATTGGATTTTGTGACGAGATCATCTAGGAATGAAAGGGGGTTATTGGTTTCAATTTCCATTGTGAATTTTATGGAGAGTTTCGAAGCCGTGGGCCATATGACAAAAACGTCATCTACGTATCTGAACCAGCAATAGGGTTTATGATCGAGCCTGTCAATAGCCTTGGTTTCGAAGTCTTCCATGAAAAGGTTTGCAAGGACTGGTGAAAGAGGAGAACCCATTGGGCACCCTTTAGTTGTTTGCAGAAAGTATCTTGGAAGAGGAAGTATGTGCTGGGCATACAGTGACTGATGAGGTTGAGGGTGCTTTTGAAAATTTGGTGTTTCGTTTCGAGAATGTTCAATGTGTCTGATTCGGGAATATTAGTAAATAAAGACACTACGTCAAAACTCGCAAGGATGTCAGTCTATTGTACGTTGAGATTTTTGAGGATTTCAATGAAGTGAAATGAATTGCTTACGTATGAAGAGGACTGTTATGCAAGTGGTTGGAGAGTGTTTGCAAGGTGTTTAGCAAGGTTTTGTGTTGGAGAACAGATAGCACTGACAATGAGGCGAAGAGGAACATTGGGTTTGTGTATTTTTGGGAGACCGTATATGCGGGGGGTACGTGAGGATTTTTCTTGGGGGATGAGAGCTTCCTTAGTTTCGGAAGAAAGATTGGAGTTGTATATATGTATATACGGCAGGTGGTCGTGCTGTCATCATCATGGATTTACTCATATATACAGTGTGTCTCACTTCTCATGGAAACACCCCCGTACCTTCCGTAATATTCGAGGTACAACGATGAAACTCTCAGGACTGATGGAAATGCTCAAAATGCACCTACCACCTGAATGGGGTTGGCCAAAGTGATATACACTGTCCGCCACTCGCGATGAACACCCCATTTTTACGGTAAAACATATTAGGGGGCATAATAGGCTCAAAATTCCTTCAGATTCGTGATCAAGACTACCAACTTACTACGATTACACTTTTTACCTGAAAAAATTTCAGTCCTGAAAAATCCGAATTTGTCTCACTTCTTATGGAAACACCCCCGTATCTTCCGTAATATTCGAGGTGGAACGATGCACCTCAAAATGCACCTACCACCTGAATGGGGTTGGCCAAAGTGATATACACTGTCCGCCACTCGCGATGGAACACCCCATTTTTACGGTAAAACATATTACGGCGCAAAATAGTTCGCTTCCAATACCTGAACCCCTTCATTCTATCTGAAGAGTACTCTCAAGTATAGAAGATACAGATGCTGTGAGATGCTATCATCCATTTTGAGCCTATCTGAGGAAAATATCACAGCATCATATTCTCAGATTATCGAGATAGTGTGAAGCAGTGTATGAAAAATTATCGATGGCGGCATCTATTATAACTGAAGAAGATTACTCGTAAAACGAATTCTGGTTGCTGAACATTCAAATTCTATCCCAACCAGAAGTGAGACATCTCGATTGATGAGCAAAAACTGCAAAAAATGGAAACAATCTATATTCAAAGGTTCACATCTCGAAAACTGTACAATTTTGAGCTTTGGCTGTGGACACTTTCAGTCTAACGTAAGCACAGCATATACTCGTAAATAAATTGAAACATATTGAATATAGGTATATACACAATAAGATCGCTATTATAATACGCTTGTTCTGTTGAATTGTAGTCTCTCAAGTATGCACACTATCGATTCACAACTGTTGTTCAAAAGTAAGTATAACATTCTAACATTTTAGATTACAGATTATTTATTTTAGGTGCGGGTGTAATTCTCAATACAGTGATAGTCGTTTTAGATTTTCAATTCAATTCAACTAAAAGTAAGGTCAATGATTATCTTGATGAGTATTAATGGTTATTACAGTTCTCTCTCACACAGTATAAAACAATTTCCCAGAAATGTGTATGGATTAGGAACTATCTTGGGAAAACATGAGCCCTACAGGATTTTCATAGAAGCAATATGCAGCATAGAGCGTGCATCGAGTCAAAAAGCAAGTGACATTCAATCATAACTGTGGTTCTCCAACTAGAATATGTATAATGTAATCGAAGCATTATGGTGAAAAATGAAAGCAAACACAATCTGAAAATAAATACATGTCAAAGCATTTTTATAAACAGGAAGGTGGGTATTTATAGATTTACAAAATATTTGAACAAACTTCGAATGGACTGTGGCCTTTGAGATATCTAATGCTAATTTTATCCCACAATAAATCCTAAGATGTAAGATTTTCCTTTAAATCTGCAAATCTTCAGT